TAGCCCATTTCATATCTCTTGGATTTCTGAACAAAGGCAAAAATCAGCCGTTGGTCCCTTCCAATCTCTCCAAGTCTCATACAAATGTTACAACAGTAAAAAAGGGAACATCAGGCACATCTTTCCTGCAACTGTGATCTTAAAAAATGTGTCTTCATTTTGCTTTCTATATAGACATACCTCTTTGTGGTCAAACTAGTCCAATAGGTAACAATCCCAAAAAGAATCAAGTGATTTGTGTATCGATGGATTGGATTCAAAATTATGTATTGTCTAACCTTAATTCTCTCTCTTTACATGTTGACTCTTTCATTCAGACAAATCATAGTGCACATACACATCTGCCATCAGTTTGATGTTAAGAGAAAAAAGTCAGGACACCAAACATCTGAGCTTTCCATATGTCACTAACACTTCTTCTAAGCCTTGTTTTAACGTGTGGAGCTCCAGACAGGTGAGCTTTACAAACAGGTGCTCAGATACCAGGTAAATTACTGCTTGCTGAATTTACTCCAAATCTCCTGGCACCCAGCGCTTGGTTTTACGAAACAATCCCTCCTGGCTAATCTTTCCCTTGCAGACCTAAACGAAGCATAACACATACTTAAAACTGTTATTTGTTTTACAGCTAAACGGATAAAGTGAAGTAATTCACCCACTAATTTGTTGTTGTTCAAATGTAGCATCTATTCTGAAACCTCATTGTTGTCTCCTGTGTACAACTTTTATTACTGGGAAAAGGCGTCACAACTTAAAAATGTGGCCTTGATAGAATCAAGCGGATTCTGCCCATTGGTGGGAAAGTGCCGATTAATTGTGTCGTAGCCCTGTGAGAAAGTACGCCCAGCGCAAAGCACTAATTATGGGCCCTGCCTGGCCGAGAGAAAAGGGGGCAAAACTCTCAACAAAGGCCCATCTCATATCTCAAGACAATGAGGAGCCAAAAGAATAGGAGAAAGGAGAAGTTAATGAGCTGTGTCACCTGGCATCTGTTGATGCTGGGACGAGGCTGACTGGTGTGTCTGTGTGTGTTTGTGTACATGAGAAAAGAGAGGAAGTGTTTATGTATGTTTACATGTTGGATTCTGTGGTTCATTACGGAGTGTCCCTTTTCGGCATGCTACTTTACAGAAAGGTGCTGCAGGTAAAAGTCATATCTCAAAGGTGTGAATGGAAATGATAAGAACATGCAACACCTTAGGCGCGTTCACACCGGAGTACTTTTCCCCGTACTTTTCCCGTTTAGTTCCGTTAGTACCCCTTATGTTGCGTTCACACCAAAAAGAGTACTTAGTGCCGGGAACTTTTACCCCCATTTTTAGTGCCTGCTAGAGAGGTGGTACCAAAAAAGTACCAAAAAAGTACCAATTTCTGATTTGGCTGGGCGAATTGCAAACCACGCCCCGTAAAACTCTGAAAAGTTTTGTGAAGCCGCCATTGTATTTGTGGCATTAGCATTATTAGCATTAGCATTAGCCCCGCGCACCAACGGAGAGAGAATAACTTATGGCAACACAAAACAAAACATGGGAGAGTGGAGTGATGAGGAGGTGTCGGCGTTCTGGCGATTTACTCGGAAGGCTTCAGTAGAAGCTGCTGGGAGTCCCAGCAGCTTCTACTGAAGCCAGTCCCCAACTCCGGGGACTTCCGGCCGGGGACTTCGGGTGGCAGTATACGCCGTGAAGTTGTTTACGGCCTACCAGTAAACCCAAAGCAGAAGAAGACGAAGTGACGTCAGCGGCTCATTTGCGTAATCTTCCCTCAGGGAACTTATTCCGGTGTGAACGCGATCTGTACTAAGTGACCTGGGGTACTAAGTGCTGGGGCACTAAGTGCCGGCACTAAGTACGGCAAAGTACGTGGTGTGAAAGCGGCTCTTGGTAGTTAGATGGTTACTGCGTGTGCCACATGTCACTGGTTTGATTCCCACAGTGGGACCGTTGTGAAATGTTAAACCCCTTTCTCTCTGTCCATTTTGAGTCTGCTTCATCTGTTTTATAAAGACAGAAATGCCACAAAAAGGCATTGAAGAATATGATGAGAAAATAGTGGATTTGTACCCATCTTTGTTATAAGATGTAATTGCTTAATATTTCAGCAAAACTTTGTCTGAGCCTGTCAATAATAAAGACACATTGTCAATGCTATTTGAAATGAAAAGCCCAACACTGTCAGTGCAACTGAGCTGCACAAATGTGTGTTAAAATATAAATATTTCTTTCTTTATGCATGTCAGTAGTTTTTCGAGGTTTGTTCTCCTTCAGCTGTTTGTACTTGAATTACTACTTCTGCCACTAATACTCTAACTTTCTAACTTTCATATAATAGGTTTGGTTGATCAGAAGCATCAATTAAGCCACACATCAAAGGACATATCAGTGCAAAGTAAAAGTCAAACCTTTTCATCGTTGTAGGTGATTATACTTTTTATTCATGTGATCAAACACATTGTAGATTGGGGCATTAACCATTGCTTCCAAATGACAATAAAAACATATCAAAGCTTCACACTGAAACATATATAAATAGGGCTGACACACTAAAGCTGCTGGTCTTTATTTTGACCCTTATTCATAACACGCTGGCCACATGTTGTTATGAGGAGAACACAGAAGAGGTCTGGCTTTCCAGAAACTGTATATACAGTAAGCACATTGTGATCCTATAAAAACAAAACTCAGCCATGGGTTCAAAAATACTTTGTGAAATCCACAGGGAAACACTGTGTGATCCTCAGTTTAAAAGGCGACCAGTCGACTGTGGTTTAGAGTTGAAGGGCGGCAGCAGCAATCCTGTTATGACAGTAAATGACGTGACGTGAAACTGCATTTAATGACAGAAGGTGTATTATAGCTCGAACTGTGTTTTCTGTTTCGTTTGGCGTTTGACTTTTGTTTTTCACTGACCTTGAGGAACAATTTCAGTAATATTCAGGGAGTCAAAACTTGTTTCATGTCTCAAACAGAACAGATTTCTGTTGACAGGGCTAATTGTTAAGTGCGCGGTTGCTGATCTCGAGGCCAAAGAACCACTTTTGGTTGTTCCACTGAAATTTGTATAACTTACGCAGAACCACAGAGTTTTTCTGTGCATTGACAGCGCTGTCTGTTCATACTGTATCCATTGTGCACTGTTTCAGTGTGCTTTAGATGTTCTAATAATAGAATATAAACTACTTGGTAATTAAAGATTCCTCCTCCTTTGAGAAGGGGCTGGGCTTTGCAAAAAGGGAATTCTATGTTTCATTTTGAAGTTATTGGTCCAGTTCCAAGACCATCTAGCCTCCAATGATCAAAGGTTGAGTCAGAGAAAAGCCTAGCGGGAGGCTTATGCAAAATGTCGTCTCCTTATTGCGAATCGCCCGACACGTTGGAAACCATCGGCGCTCGTTTAAATGTCAATATACCCCGATGCAGTTTGGCTGTGCTTGGTCAAGTTTGAAGTATGTGGTTGAAAAAAAAAGAAAAAAGATCTTAGAAATATAATTTGCAGGGTTTGGAAAGTTGCATTGATTAAATTCCTCGACTACGGCTGATTTATCTCCGAGTCCGTAAGAACATTTCATATCTGAAGATAGTCATGCACAATATAAAACCTTGGCACTTGGGAAACAGTGGCATAAAAGTATTTATTTGTTGCAATTTTTATATTTTTCAAATGATTAATGAAACACATTCAATACATACAGACTGTTAAACACCTGAACTTTTGAAAGAACATCCATAACATTCATCTGTTTGCAACTTATATCAATATTCCAATTACTTGTATGTAGACTATTCTGCAAAATGTCTATTATTATATTTTATTTACTTGCACTATTATCTGTTTTATTGTTGTTGCACTGTTGGAGGAGCCTGTGCCCTAAGATTTTAATTGTCATAACTAAACTGTAGCTATGTACACATGACAATAAAAGCCTTGAACCTTGAACTCTTGTCCATGATAACAGATTGTTGCAGGAAATTATTTTTTCTTTCTCAGTAAAAATAATTCTTGTTCAGAGAAGATAATAAGCAGTCGAAAGAGATCATGACGAGATGAAGGGACATACAACTTGAACTTCTGCAGTCATCCCTCGCTGCCCCCCCCTCCCCCCCCCCTCCACCTTCAGTGCTGATCCATTATGTTAATGGTGATTACTGGGTCACACATCAACACTATGTTTCCACCTTTTAAAAGCAGGCCAGACGTCCAAAGCCCCATGACGGAGCGCAGGGGGGACGTCTGGGTCTGTTGGAGGTAACTACCGGGGTGGAGGGGGGCTGATAGCATCGCCAGGAATTTAAACAAAAGTATTTTTTTCTCCCTCAAAGCCACCATCTTTCAGTCTGACGGTTACTGTAAACATCATTCCAGCACACAGCATTATAAGACATGCTACTCCACATTCCTTCAGCGCTTTTAAAAAGATGGAAAAATGTCTCAAATATTGTATGTTTACTGGTTGGGAGAACATTTAAAGTAGGTTGTTTTTTTTAAAGTGCTCAAACGTTGACAAAGCTACGTCTCAGGTTATCTTCAATCTTGACAAATGATGAGAATTTTATTTTTGGGGGATTTCACAGCTTTGATGTGGTGTATGGTGCTATATATATAATCCCATTTTATTAGAGGCCCTATTCTGCTTTTTGGGGTTTCCCCTTTTCTCTAGTGTGTTATATAGGTTTTAGTGCATGTAAATGGTCTGCAAAGGCTAAAATCCTGAAGTTCGATTGGACTCCTTTGTTTACTTCCCAGAACATAGTGACATCACCACGTAATAATCATACTTTTATTGGGTAGCGCTCCAACAGATTGTACGTAAGGGGCGAAACATCTTGAAGCTGTTGACCAATCACAACAGAACCGGCCAGCTGACCAATCAGAGCAGACTGGGCTCTGGTTTCAGACAGAGGGTGAAAAGAGGTGCTGCAGCACAGGCAGTATGAGAAAAATAAAGAGCTTTTTGAACATTAAAGCATGGAGACATGTCACAGGAGAGGCAAAAAACACAAATATGAACTCGAAAATGAGCATAATAGGGCCCCTTTAATACATGTGCATCTTAGTTATTGACACTTAAAAAAGAAGGAGCACATACAAAGATACATTTTACTTTCTTGGCCCAATTATTTTGTATAATATGTTATGATATTGAGGTTTTAAGAAAGCACAAACCGTGAACTCTTGTTGCCCTTCATGGTGATATACAAAGCCTGCAGAGATGTTGCAATAGAGCTTTCTCAATTTAAAAACGTCTGACCTTAAAAGCAGTCCTCACACTTTGGGTTTGTATATAAAAATGCATACCTTGGCAGTATGAGGAGAAGGGAATGTACTCTATGTCCAACCAATGGCTACCTGCAGCATTTCTCTTTAAGGAAGTATGATAATCAACGTTCACATTGTTGAATTCCATCCTGAACCAGGCTTTCTCCAGTGCAATAAAAACACATAAAATAGTTTTTAAAATATAGTCCTCATTTTATTAACAGAGGCCAAATAAAACTCATCACATTTTATTTACAAAAGGAGGCAATAAATATTTTAATAATAGTCATAAAATTATTTTTCGCTGTTGTTAGTAGCAACTCATACAAAACCCTGCCCGGAAACAGGTGAATACACACTACAGGTGAGAAGAGGCTGGAGTTTGTCGTCAGTGAGAGAGGGAATGATAGAAGCACAGACTATTCCCCTTTTTTTTCAGAACATATTCCCACAATCTCGGGAAATCTGGGTTTCTGAGGAGAAGTCTTAATTGTCAAATGTGGATTTAAGGAAGTAAAGGGCTACAGTCTTCCTGTCTGCAGATCACAAAACAAGCACGGGGATAAACTTTCCTAAAAGTGTGTCGAGTGTGAAATGGAGCATAGATGAGCTCACGGTCGAAAGATGATTTTGGAAGAGAAAAAACAGAAGAGCGTCTGAAAGGTTCTGGAGATTAACTGAGCACAGACAGTCAGACTAGGTGAAGATAAACACAGAAGAACAAGGAGGTAGAGGACGTCTTCATCACCAGCCCCGAAAAATATTAGCTAGCTCACACTCAAAGAATCATCCTTTTCTTTGAGGAAGAGCTGTTATGAAAGTGGGCGACAAGAGGGATTAGCATACATAGTGATGGAAGACTTAGTGGAGTTATGAATCACATCAGTTGTAATATTTTTGTTTGTATTGTTTTCTTTTTAGCTGTTTAAACAAGACTAAAGCCACGGCTGGTGCCCGACTAGTCAAAGCATGTCGTGTTTTAGCTGAATCACAGGAAACGTCAAGGGAATCACACACAGCATTCCTGGAGCCGCCAGTGGAGCTGAGGTTGAGAGACATATGGAAAAACAAAGCAGAGAGGCAGAGAAAGAGAAAGAGAGAGACCTGTAACATATTGCACTCAGAGCTACACAGTTATCCCGGCAGCACAGAGTCACCTGCGACTGCCACCTCTCTCCGGTTCGTCTCCATGGTGTCCGATTCCAGTGGAAAGTATGGGATCCGCGTTGTCAGGGGCAACACAAACAAAAAAAGGGGACAGGTATTCCAATAAATCTCTAGTTGGCTGATTTTTATAACATCGCCTTCAGTTCAAACGTGGCCGAGGAGGACGGCGACAGTTTCTCTCAGAGGTCCTTTAGTGTATCCAGTATAAATAACATGACAGACACGTTAGCACAATGACATCAACCCAGAAGAATCCAAGAGTTAGGAAATATTCAGTCATCCTGAAATACAAAAATAAAACATCTTTTTTTTTTGTTCTTTTTGTCTGTCTTTCTTTTACAGAAGTGAAGTCTTTAAGGTGAAGACAAGAAGAAGCTTGAGATTTTTTCAGTTAAGTTCGTTTTTTTTTTCTATTTCCCCCCCTTTGAGGAAAAGTAGTGCTGTCCCGTCCCATTGATTGGTCCCATCAGTTCCTCTTGGAGTTGGTTTTTAACCGCCGAGCCCTTCGTGTCCGCTTAGTAACTGGAGTGAAGCGAAACTCCTCCAGCGGGTCCAGCCTGCCCTTCGGCTGGCGCTTCATGAAGTGGACTTCCTGTTGCCTCTGCGTGGTCCGCGAGCCTTTTTTGGGCCGCCCCTTCCTGTTGAAGCCGAGGTACCATCCTTTGTACTTGGCCGACACGAGGGCCGTGTAGTTGTTCTCCAGGAATTCCTCGACAAACACACACTCCTGCTTCCGTCCATCGGGCTACACAAAGAAGAAATAGGAAATGAATTCAAGATCAACAGTCGCATGGCTTATTTGCATTGCATCTGTGTGTTTGGGCTGTTTTTGATTATTTTTTTATGGTGTTTTGTTTTTTCGAAATTTGGTGTAAGTTTAAAATGTTGGTCATGTGTTGAAAACCTACATTTCCGATTGAAGGTAAATATCAAATGTTCACACGAATATTACATTAAAACGGTTAGCAAACTAATACATTTAAGGACAGCATATTACTTTTTTTTAACAGATGGTAGAAAACATATTCCAATGAGTGTGGGGTAAAACTTAAAATGCATACAAAATCACTTTCACATGACTAGTGGCCTTTCCCGCACGCTTAACTCGCTGCTGCACTATTGTAGTTTTCACAGTCTTTTTAACAACTAGTCTTTATTTCACTTTCAGGTAACAGGCCACATTGCAGTAGCTGCATTTTAGAGGAACAGTTTGGTCTTATGGGTAATACAATCATTTACTTGCTTGGCATGTGAGAAACAATTCTGCAGGCTAAATATGCAGCAAGAGCCAGTTAGCTTAGCTTACCATAAAGACTGGAGTAATTAAAAAACAGATAGAAGAAGTGGTGCTAATGATCTCATTTAACCTTTTGATTGAAGATATGGAGCTTTATATTCATGAAAATTCATCAAATCTCTCTTTTTCAAAAACATGCTGGTGTGGAGTTTAAAGGGGACCTATCATGCAAAATGCACTTTTGTACGTCTTTTATCCATGAATATGTGTCCCCGGTGTTCCAGGGAACTCACGAAGTGTCAGAAAACACAACCCTCTCTATTTTCCTCCATACCCAAATCTCTAAAAAAAGGGGCTGCAACGGATCTGATAAAAACTGATCCAGATTTGAACACTGTCCTGACGTCAGGACGGTGGCGCTACGGCTATTGGGCCAACTCCACCAATCAGGAGGAGACAGCCACGGCCATTGCCGTTCGAAAGCGCTGAAGACGCTGTAGTACATATGCCAGGCCTGTAGATGGTGCTGTTCTCACAGAATCAGCCCTTGCAAAAACAGAGCTAGAAATTGTCAAATTGAGCAAAATGAGGCATGGCTAAAATGCATGATCTGTTTGGTATTTTGAAAAAAAAAAAAATGCCATATATAGGTATGGTCCTACACTATATTATTCAAATATAGCATGATAGGTCCACTTTAAGTGTTTAAATTATACAAATGCTAAGTAGTGAGGAAAAGCTGGAGGATTCTAATGCTTTGCTCTATGGTCACAGCAGGCTGTTTGCAATGAGAAATCTCAGATGTTTGGAAGAGAGCATTTCCACTGAAACCTGTTCACTGTGATGTCTGTGGATTATCTGCCGATACAGAACAGCCTTCCTAGAAAACAGAGCGGCTGAAGCTTTTAAAGCAGGGTGGAAGTAAATATCTCATATCTCATATCTCCTATCTGCATGCCTTCATAGATATACGGGTAAGTCAGAAAATATCTAACATTTGGGAGGAGAGACACTTTTAAAATCCTGATGCCCGTTTAATTGAATCTGTCTAAAATGTACAGTTTACACAAATGATTGTTGTCGTTAAACAAGCTGAATGTCAACAGCAATGAATAATGTAAATGTCATTTTAACTGATTGCTAAAATAACCCTTTGCTTGGTTTAAAGGAGGAAGTCAAGGAACATTTTTTAAACCAATGACGCCCAAGCAACTAAAAGAGAATGCATGTTTCTAACAGATGACCGTGATGAGAGAGTGAAAGCGTGTGTGAATTATTGCAGACGCTGTGATGATGACAACTTGAGTTATTAATGCAAAGAAATCACACGTGGGTCTTTTCAAATATGAACTTATTTTCCATATCGCAGCGTTGGTCAGAGTCACATGCAGTCATCCCGCGCCTGTGGCCACCTGGTGTGACTAAGTGATATAATTGCAATGGCATTCCTCCTAAGTGACCATTAGTCTCTCAATGCATTGTGGTGATTGCAGTCCATAATTGACTGATCGAGTGTCAAAGGAGCAGGCCGATTACGTAATGGAAGAAGGGCTGGGAGTTATCAAAGGGGTTTTGTTAGGGTGTACAAAAAACAGCCGGAGAAAGCAGATCTGAGGCTGCGTTCAATTCAGCCCGGATTAAGAGCTCCATTTAAAATATTCATTTAGATATTAGGAAGTGGCGATTAAGTGAAAATATTGATCTGGAGGATCAGTGTGTTGAAAACAAAGAGATTCTTACCCTTCCGACTATTTTGCCCTTCTCGTTCATGCAGATGTAGTGTTCGCTCTCCTTTCCTTTAATTCGGATGTGACTCCCGAAGGTTTCCGTCTCGACAACAAGGAGAGCTGGAAAACAAAAGAAAAAGAAGATTCTGTTAACAGCAAGTCTTTCCAATCACATGGTTTAAGGATCCTGATTCCATGTACATTTAATTATATCTCATTTGTTTTTCACACTTATGGTGAACAGTGATTATTTGTAACACTCAATTTCTTGAAATGAAGACCAACAATGTATTTCATTTTAGTACCAGTCCTGCAAAGGAACCGTGCAAACTGAACGCTCTAAGTACCTCACTCAGAAAACTCACATATTTAGCATAAAATTGCAAAAATTAAATGTTTTTAACAGTTTTTTGGGTGTTAATATTACGGTAATATGTCATGATTTAAGTGCCATAATATGTACCACAACAAAAGTTAACCACCATAAACCAGTAATGTATTTGTACAGAGATCAATAGGACAACACAATTCTGCAATATCCAGGAACACGATTTTGGTCTGTTAAAAACACATATTGCATGAGTTTCATTCTATCAGTGAATGTGGAAAAATGTTCAATGGTTTAGACATTTTTTAAACTAAAATGGACCAAAAAATGATGCGTCTGCAGAGAAAAAAAGTTATCTTTAGGTGTAAAAATGTCTTAACAATATACCACATATGCACAAAAACAAGAATGCCAGCGCCACTCCACCCTGACGCAGCAGTAATCCACTCTCGAGACGCATCCCGGCGGCTCTTTTATAACCCCCCCGTCCCGTCCCCCACCACACCCCACCCTGAATGTTAACCCCTGCGAGGTCACCTTTGTCTGCGCTCGCCCCTCGACCAGCAAAGAGATCGGCCAAACATTTGTGGAGCGGTTATGTGCCCCTCAGGATTAGGTTTCAAGTTCCCTTTAGTCTGTGCTCACTCAATCAAAAAGTTAAGATGATCCATTTGTTTAACACACAGGGCCATTCAGTAGCGCTCAAGGGAGCAGAGGAAGAATAGGCGAAAGGGGATGGGTCGGGCTCCAGGGCAGAAGTAACTCCCCCGCCTCCTCCTCCTCCCCCTCCTCACCCTTAAATACAACCTTGGGAGGAAAGTGGGAAACCTGTCTCAAAGGTGGAAGAAGTTATTCCTTTCTTTTGTTTGGAGAGATTCCTGTTTGTCCGTCTTATTTGGGAGGTAGAGAACAGTATGTTTGTATCACTGGAGGGAGCTCGGAGGAGCTGTAAGAAGGGAATCCAACAAGTCTTAAGTGAATGTTGTTTATAAAGATATTTCAGCTCTCTAAAAGTCATTTGACAAGCGTTTGGCTTTCTCACTCTTAGTTGGTTTTGCACGGAGACCCACGATTCAACCTCAGCTATGAAACATCGACCTAGAACATCAGATAAAACAATATTTTCCTCCCTACTGTAAGATACCCTTTGTCTGTAAATGTAATCATTTCATTTTATCTCAGTTGGCTCAGCAAGAAATATATCTTTGAGAAAGAGTGGTCACTGTGATGTTTTGTAAATGAACTCTTGACATTTCTTAAAAACAATTCTCAGGCCCGAGACTCCATTGGCAGCCATAGCCGGCACATTAAAGGGGAACAACATTTTCAAAATCTGACAGAAATGTTCGAATAACTGCTCAATGTTTACCATTACATCCCACTCCCAGTGACTTCTTTTTCACCAGGGTTTCTTTCAAGGGGCAACATAAACAAGGAGGGTCCACAGGCGTGAATTAACCTCAGCATGGGGTCACCTGTCAGGAGAGTTGAAAGCTCCTGCTTTAATGCCACATCGCAGCATCTATCAGTTTAAAAGCCTTTAGGGAGAACCACCCTGTGCTCAGAGTGGACATCAGGCATCATTTATGACAAAACAGGATTGTCCTAGTCTCTTAAAAATAATGAATATGCTACCAAGAAGAAGGATGGCTGCACTAATAAGGACTTAGAGGTTTTAATGCTCTGTAACGAAGCGATATATTTCTGGTTGTGGCCCTCAGATGTGAAGCTGCAGTGACTGAGAGAGGATCTTCTTGAGCGTTATTAGTGAGTGCAAAGGAGTTCACAGGTGCCAGGTACTGCAGCTGGATGGGGAGGAGGTAGAGGAGGAGGGGCGGAGGGCAGAATTGGCAAGGCCTCATGGGAAAAATTGGATCTGCTTCCACTCAAGCTCTAACAAGCAGTGAGGAAACTTCGCCTCGGCGCATCTGTGACTGAACACACTCACTCAGAGGCATTCAAGACCGGCAATTTCAGAGCAGTGAGTCAGCTGTTATGAGCTAAATATCTGCAGGAACGCACAAAACAAGGCCTGACCTTCAATTTACTCATCTGCTGCTTTTGTTTTGATATGAAATAGTGAACAAGTTTGTTCAAAAAGCAGACAAGGTATATTTGAGATTGGTAGGAGCATACAATTGGATGAACATGTTATATTCAGTCAAACTAAATCCTTCAAATGCCGTTTCTCAGTTTTGCTATATGCTTAACATGTTCAAGTATTGTCATTTTTGCACTGATAGCTAATATCCAACATCAAATGTGACAATGACTATGCAAATTAAAGATTAAAGATTTATATTTTTGCTTTCTCTTAATGTTTTAGGACTTCACTGATCTGCATTTCCAAATATGGACACACTCCATCTGCTTCCTCATGAGAAACAATAACATGTTCTGATGAATTAATTAAGTTCAATAATACCATGATTGCATCCAAACCTCAATAGTTAAAACCTACAGTAAAGAATATGTTGCAGTTTTGGTCCACATTAAGGATTCTGGCCAAAATAATTACCTTGTTGAACTATAAATCAATCAAGGTAAGAACAGACTTGCTTTGAATACCCAAATGCTGCGTTAAAGATCCATTGCAAAGTCAGGAATTTCATGTTTCCAGCGACCCCATACAGAAGTTGGCGGCTTCTTAGTAAGTTCTCCATCCACTTTCCCGAAGCTAAACACTGAGCATGGAAAAATGATCTCCATATGAGGGCTGGATCAACATCTGGCTGGTAGGTGTTGGAGGTTTCTCATCCTGTCGTAAAGAAACTAGCTAGCATGTCAGGTGAGATGCACAGGAGTTCTCCCATACCATACTTGCCCCCATCATCTCCGTTGGCGTTGACTTTCTTCCCGAGGATCTGCACGTGTTTCCCCGTGGTCCTGCTGTACAGCTGATAGATCCGGACCTGCTTCCGGCTCAGGTCGTCCGGGTTCCTCGTGTGGTTCTCGATGTAAATCCTGAAATCAGCAGAGGTCTGCTGGGATTCCTGAGAGAAAGACGGAAGAGGAGGAAACATAGAAAGAGGGGAAGACAGGCGGTTAGAGATCGTCACGGCACAGGTGTTGATAGTAATGTGTGCTTTTATAGGCCGTGTGTCAAAAAAAAATTGTGCTCCAGGCGCGAAAAACTCCAACCGGGAAATTGTGGCTGCGGCATTTGAGTGTTTCACTTCCTGCTTTCAGCTCGCACATTTTACATGCATTGCATTTACGAGCTGATAACTATGTACGAGATGTGCTAATGAAGTCACCGTTTGAGTCAAAATCCCACAGAACAAGTGCAGAGCCTATAGTGCAGCCTTCTGCTTCAGATTGAGACAGCGGTATACTATGTGCCCCGGGCGATATTGAGAAACCTGTATTCCATTTCCACAAGCAAGCAAGCCACTAGCAATTATACACCTGAAGCATCCAGACCTGTTGCACTATCATCAAACAAATATCTGCCTGCAGGCCAAGTACGGTCCATAAATTAGGAAACGCAGCGGGCGGAAGACAAGACGGAGGGATGGCATGAGGCACCTCCAAAACAGGAGGACTTTCTGATTCTGCAAATTCACCTTTCAGAATTTAGTAGAAGTCTTTTTATGAGTCACCTAAGACCTGACATAAAAACCGAGGAAACCGCAGACTTCGACAGCTCGTCAGAAAAGCAAATGTGTCACCCAACATGTGGAAGAGGAAACGTATACTTTCAGAAGCCCAGGAATCTCTGTTCACGCCAAGATCCCATTTCCCCAGCTGTATGGTGTGGTAATTGCACAGTAATGGCTTTTTATGTGGCTGTTCTCAGGTGGCTAATTATATACACATTACATACCCCGAGTTCTTGTTATTCTAACTTTAGTAAATTAATGACATGTAGAAAACATGAGGGGAAATCGTGGTCTCGGAAGAAGAAATCTTTAAGCTCAGACAGGAAAAATAAACTTTCGCAAATCAAATGGGGGCTACTAACATTGGCTCTCTTAAATCAGGTGACATATAATACTACTTTAAAGAACGATGTACAGAACGGTGAGTTTTACGCCGAACACGAAAAAGCAATGGTTTAACCTCCCAAAAAAGATAATTGGATGTTGAGTTTGGACACCAACTTTAAATGTCTTCTTAAGGACTTTGCCCTCCCATTTCTGAGCCACATTTGGACTTGGGGCTTTTTAAATAGCAAGGACTCGTTGCCTCATTATGACGTATTTGTTCTAGAAATGTGGACCTCAGAGGGTTCAGCCCCAGAACTGAGACACAGCTTCTGTATCTTGACATTTCGGAAACACGCCCGTAATGTTACTTTTGGCAATGTAGAAAATGAGAGGCTTGATATTAAAATGTATCAGCGACTAATTTGTGATGTTAATAGTGACTTAAAGGCAACAAAACCTTAAATTGGGCCGACTTTACTTCATGCAATGGGATTTTAATTTGGGAAGCAATTTGTTTAGCCATGTATCTCTTATGGTGTGGGAAATGATGCAAATAGACTTTTTTTAAACTAACCCTAACCCCAATGGGTTCTCTAGATCAGGTACATCTAACTGCTCAGCCATGTGATATAATGTTCTCTTTTACATTTTTCTTACAAACTACTGGAGTCAACACCAAATTGCAGAGAGAAATGAATCAAGAACCAGCACTTCCTAAAGATAACCCTGATAACATTTAGATTAGATCTGGGAACTGATAACCCAATGCAACCCATTCAATTCAAGACAAGGATTTGCCATTTTCAACTCAAAAGCAAAAGCTATTTGACTCATACTGTCAAATGTATATAGACAGAATTTTCAAAACTGCATTTACTGTAAATTGGAACTTAATGGATGTTTAATAAGTACTGGAGACCAAGGAGCGGCAATGACAATGGAGTATTTTTTTTATAAATGTTGCACCCAACAGATAGCTTAACATTCGGTGTCTGTTCCCAAGAGACACTCCAGACAATGATTCATTTAAGAGCCGAACAGTTAGCATGAGCAGCAGTAGCCTCAACATCTGAACAAACAAAGAAAAAAGTAGCACCTATAGAGGACTTTTCATTCAACGAAAAAAGATATTCAAATTGTATGATTGAAAAGTGATCTTCACAAACCACTTGGATCCCTAGCTGTTACTAAAAAAAGAAAGCAGCTTGATACAAAACCTCCCTCAGATTTAACATTAGTGCAACCGCCTGGTGTCCATCCAGAACTACACACACAAAAATGTGTTAAAAGGATTTCGAAAGTCAAACATCGGCATCGTCTGTTGTCAACTTTCTCTCTGAATGAACCTCAAACCTGACGAGCAAGAAAAAAAAACCTGAACACAAAACAAAACGTGGCCTCTCTGGGCCGCTAAGGGATTTATCCCAAATCTCCCCGTCTCTAAACAAACATAAAAGGTGTGTTTGGTAGACAGTTGCATTTTCATCAAGGGAAAGGCAAGCCTAAGCACATGGCTGAGGTGAACACTAGCGACAACAACTTTTTTTTTTTTTTTTATCACGCTGTCTCCTTTCTTCAAAGACACAGCATGAAAACGGATATGGTTGAAACTTCAAAAGTCTGGCACTCATCTTCACCCAGGAAGCTTAGTTGTCGCATCCATCTAAGATACACCTTGCTATCTCTCAGGGTCACACACACATAGGAAAACACACAGTCTCACATGTTGGCAGTGCATTCAAAGTTTACTTCCAACTGTGGTTGCGTCTGTTGTCTTTCCTCGTGAAATCACAACCACAGCATGACACGTAGGAGCCATTAGCCGCAGAATGGGTCAACAACACGGAGAGGGAATGTGAAAGGGGGGCATTAAAGGACTATTCCTGCATTTTTTCAGTTTGATCATTATCCTGAAAGCACTCAGGGAACCACAATGCATTTCCTTTGTTTGATAAATGCCTTTATCTAATCTGATTTCTTTCATAACCACATCAAACATGCAACATCCCATAACAAACATGGACTATTAATTATCAGTGCACCTCATTTGTCTGTAAGGTCATATTCTGAATGGGGTTCATCCTCGCTTACATTTGAGGAGTGGTCAGTCGACACTATAGCTTTGTTTGTGCCAGCTCTGTTGGAATAATCAGAGCACATAGACTTATATAACTTTGCAGTTTTTCTAGTTTTTAGGGTTCCAGGAGTTCATATGTTGTTGATTCATTAAAACAAATCTGGATCAGAAAATTGACTTTCAGGTTAGACCTGTTATTTTGTCAGAGAGCTACAGGCCCCCGACCGTGATGCCCTAAATGAAAAAATAAAACGTTGTAGGCTAGTAAAACACTAGAATTGGGCAACCATAAAATGTATTTATATAGTTTACAAACAAACTTTCCCTCTAACAGGGTTTTATTGTATCAAAAGGTCAAATGTCAGCTCTTAATATTGGTATTCTTTAGTTTCAGTGACTAAAATATAGCTAAGATAAAATGACATTTAAAAATATATCAATATATTGCCAACTGTTGGATGCTTATTTAGAATCAAATATACCCCCGGAGTGAATAATGGATATAACCTTAACAACACTTTAAAAAAACAAAAACGATCCTGTTTTAATATTTGAGATCAGAGGGAACCATTTGAAACATCAGCACGTGGAAAAATTATGATCCAACACGTCATAGCTATAAAGTGATCAGATAACTTTATGAGAGAAGGAGCGTGCTCTCTGCCTCTTATGGGAATCACTGCGCGCAATTAGGTGAGTGGATGCCTGCAAAGCATTACTGTTCAAAGGGAGACGCGACTAATAAAAAATACTAAAGCAACAAGCGCACAAGCAACCCATCTGTTCAAAGGACGAGTTAAACCCCAGGCATCAAAAATATGTATTAAACATTTCTGTCGGAAAATACGAAAGCTGCTAGTTTATTTCCAGGTTATAAAACTAGCTTTAAATATATTTTACAGGTATTTATAGCCTTTAGGAGATCAATCTTCAGACCAGTTTCCCTAATACCAAATGCGTTTTTCTTTTTCACTACGGGTTATATTATTTTAGCATTGGTTATTTTATGGGGATTATAATTGTGCCTTTATATTTGGTGAAGTAGCTGTTATGATAATACTATTGCAGGGAACTGTGTTGTCCTTTTCCTTAAATGTATGCATGTTTTTTATATTATATCTCACCGAAAAAAAAGCTTAAGTGTCCTAGTTCTCTCGTTTTTTAAATATCCTTGTTGATTTTATCCATTTATTTTTCGCAAATCAAATGCTTTCCTTTTACAATTAGAGGCCGATTTTCTTCTCAAGATAATGTAATATGCAATTTGAAATCTGCCTTTTGTGCGACCACTTTAAAAATAACCTATCATCAGCATTTTTACTTTAAAAAGCAGCACAGTGACATGCAAACGCACACACACACAAAAGGGAGTTGAACGAGGGAGTAAACATACCTGTAGCTGGAAATAGAGTACCAGAAAATGTAAACACCTATGTGGAGAGAGGGAGAGAAAAGGGAGGAGGGGAGTGAATCACACAGGCAATTACATGAAGAATAAACGCAGCCGACCTGGATTAAAGCAATGCGCAAATATGAAGCTTTTAGCGACTTCTATTGGTAAGAATGCATGATTTTATGTGAGAAAGGCACGCGGAGAAGTGGAACACTTACAGGTATATGAACCTCGAAGGCAGCACAGACATCTTGACTCGCAGAAATACACCTGAAATACACCTGCTTCCACAGATTTGGAAAGGTTGGCGAAATCGCCCCCCTCTCTCTTGCTTTCGCTCCCTGGCGCGTCCTTTACGCACACAACTCCGGGGGTAAGTAGGAGATTGAATCCCAGTGTAAGGATATATCACTGGAGAGCAGCAGCAACAGAGTCACGGAGTGCAACATTAGGTGTTTCCTTGTTGGGGTGAATTATCCAGTTTTTTTCTCCGCCCGGCTCCCCGAAATCCCGGAACGTCTCCGTAATTCGGTGCCAAGCGTGGAAATGATTCACAAGTCAACCTCTCCAAAAATTCCCTTCGCTCATAAAAAAATATCCTTCGAGTTTTGCGCACCTATAGCCAAGTTTCCCCACAATCCAAATCCTACTCCAGAAATCACAGGCTCCTCAACTCCGTCCGTACCTGCGGGGGCTTTCTACACCTTGCATGTGTCATTTTATTCTACCAAGTGCTACGCTGGAAAAAAAGTTAAAGTGGTGATAATAAAACGCCCTTCCACCACTCGCTAAAAGTGGGCAAACAAACTTATCCAGGCATAACAAAGTTATGTTTTTCAAAAAGAAAAGCAGAGTGGAAATCGCAGTCCCTGGAGAGGTTTGGGGGCTGGTGATGGCGCAGCAGTGCCTGTCAGTGGTGTTTGTGCGTCTGCGGCTTGAGATTTGGGCACAGAGAGGCTTTTTTGTTGTTGGTGGGAGGAAACATGTCAGCGGTTTGCACCTGATAGGGTAATCCTGGAGAGACCATCAGCCTGGAGAGAGTTTGTTCCTCTCGGTGGGCAAAGCGATGCGCAGAGGAGAACAAGAGCAAGAAGATAAAGTGCTCTTTGGTTTGGTTGCTTTTAGATTTTTTAAATTAATAAAATGTGTTTTGTCAGGTTGGATTTTGTTGTTGTGTTCGGCTATGGACAAAGACCACCTGATAAGAGATGGCATTTGACGATATCCACTTTCTTTTCTAAATGATATAAGTTTCATTTTTATTTTTGCGTCAAACCATATTTTCAGGTTGTATTATTTTAACCCCTTTATGACTTAAATAATAATAAATATCAACAGGTATCGTAATTGTCTTCATTACATTGTCATGGTGGGTGTAGAATAAACAGCGGCTGCGTGTAACCACCACAGAAACTGCTTCTCTCAGTCGGGGTTTTAAAGCTACTGCTGGTTTGTGGATTGGCCTCGGCTCCTCCAGACAGCATTCAAATGCAGGTTGTTGTCGACCTCGATTTTTTCAATAATGTGCTATAACTTATCCCGCATTTAAATGAAAGAGAGGTGTGAATCTGTTTACGAGCTGGCAGCAGTAAAGCGAGCCCACATCCCTGCTGCCATTAAAAAAAACAGAAAACCTTTGTGGTTCGCCTTTATTGTCCCATTAAAACTGGATCCTCGGCATTCCTGCCCCATTGATATTCAAAATGAATCTAAATGATTACATACAAAACTTCCCATGTTGGGGATTTCAAAGGGCCTCCTGCAGTGAGTTTAGTGGGGACTGAAAGGAGTGTTTAACTAAGAGCTCCAGCTGCTGATCAGCAAAGGCAAACACACAAACAAAATCAATTATTTATCTGGAAAAATATAAATGCATGGGTTTTATTTATCTAAGTGTTTATGATTTATAACGACAAGTTGAGTCATGTGTGTTTTGTGCATGTTGTAAAGAGGATAAAGTGGGTTAATGTGGTGTTTACCCTGTGATTCATGGCTGTCTGCCTAACAAGAAGGCTTGATCCTGACAACCACAGTGCACTTTAATAATCCCTGTAACACAACTGGGGTAGAATGTCAATTTAAAGCATGACTAATTTAGCCTTGTCCGCCTCAAGGGAGGGGGAATCACAGCAAATATTGGGCAAATAGTAATTATCGAGGAAGATAATTTAATGATTTCTTCACAAATACGAGGCATTGGTTCCGTTTGATCAAGTAAGGCTTACAGTTCAAAACAAAAGCACCTGACAACTGATTTAAAGAAGGCAGGATGATAAACAGCAATTACCACGCCGACTGTGATGGAGCCAGCATTGCGGGGTCACTCATCGCCTCTTAAGCACATGTTTGTGACAAACTTCTCGGAGCATGACTGTAAAAATCTACATCTGAGGGGAGAGCGCTGTAGCGAGCTTGATGTGGCCACCTGTGACTCACAAGGAGGCGGAAATGTATCTCTGCTCATGGCAAAAAGGGAAGATACACTTTTTTTTTAAAGAGGACTTTTATCATGTATGAGTCACAAGAATAGGGAAATAAATAAGTTATGGCTGCAGGCCAAATGTTGGATGTGTCAGCTATGCACTTGTCTGGACAACCAGTCATATTGGCAGCTGGCCAATCAGGAGTCAGAGGGAAAGATTTATTTTTGAAATGTAAACTTATTTATGGCACAAAAGAAAGCCCACTGGACCAAAAAAAACCTCTTTTCATACATGAAATCTGACTGACAAAAGGGATTTAAAAGGACCTAAATGGAAGGACTCCATTGGCTTTGTCTTGCACTGTCCCCTCTGAGAACCTGATTGTTTACATTGTTTATCCATATCACTGTTTAGTTTTTAAGCTGTTGGAAGGTTTGGCACCAAATTCACATCCAGTACAACCATCATTTGGAGAAGAGAAGTCTCAGACAAGGTGCCAACAAAACACTTCATCTGTAGGACGCGTTGCAGAGTTAGGGTTGGTTCAGACCATTTCAACATATCTGTTTTATTTGTCTTTTTTAAAACCAAACAAGAAAAGTATTTGAAGTAGTTGATTTTGGATTATTCAAAGTAAGTGGGAATATGAATTTGCTGAGGATTCAAAAGATATATATATTCAGTCAATGCTTTGAACCCAAAAAAGTAAATTCCAAATATCACAAAACCCAACTCAAATGTAACCGCATGGCAAGAAACTGTTGGAAAAAACTGACCCTTTAAAAAGGAAGAGAGTTCAGATGTGGATTGAAAACTACATTTTCACACCATCACTCAAAAAAGTTGGTGCTCCCGACAAATTGCAAATTGCCCGCTGACACTATATGAAGAAGAAAAAAAGATAAAACAGCGAGAATCAATCAAAAGCAGTATGCTGCTGGTCGAGCATGACAAGAGTGAGCTTTATGAATGGGGAGAGCTGTTTCTCAGTCCAGTTTGTGAGGCTCGGAGGAGGGAGGGGGGGGGGGGGTGGGGATGACGGGGGCAGCCACTCAAGAGTTGGGATAAGGTTACCCACAGAGATTAGCTGACAAGAGTGAGGGAGTGAGAAAAACAAGCAAGCAAGTTAAAGGTCTTAGTTTACCTGGCTTGCTGTGCTTGGCAGCCAATGAAAGTGCTTTGAAACCACAGATTCTGCCTGAGATGTTCCTCAGCGGCCACATTTGCCAATTCTGTTCAAATTTCATGAATACAAATGTAGTTCTACAAAGTGGCGAATGATGTTATTTCGACGACTCCCAGACTCCTTTCAAGTCTTTGAATTTGAACCTCGCCGCGTCCCCGAGCAGCAATGCGTGTCTGTCCGCAGCGACGGGACTGTGGGAATGTCACCGAGGATATCTCATTGAAGCTAGAGGAGGAGGCATCTGAAGGCGGGCGAGCGCTCAGCGGTTCAAAGGGCCCTAGCAGGCATTTAGGGCTCCACAAAAGAACTTGGCAGATCAGTAAGTGAAGCCCAATGTACTACATTAGTGTCAGGACCCCCTCCGCGTCCCTCCCACTTTGCACTTTCATCTCTGACACGGACATATTGACTTAAAGGAAAGGAGGGGTGCCAGGGCCCGCCGAGGAGGGGTGGGTAGTGGCGGTGGGTGTCAGGGGGGGGTATATGTGTCCCATTCAAATATCAAGGTGAGGCGATTGATGCCCAGGGGTGACCACTGACTCATATAAGCCACCCAGAAGCCTTTTTTTTTTAACTAGAAGTCACAGGCCGACAAGCGTGTGAGACCCAAACGGGACGGCCCTCTTCCTCTCATCTCACTGAAATCAGCCTCACCCCATTAGTGTATGCTGACCCCACCCCAACCCCCCTCTCCAAACACACACCCACTTCCCTTTTCACACTGTGGGTGATGCCCTTCCGCGGGGCTACTGAAGTCCAACGGTTAACGTGGGTTTGGGTCGTGACGGGGTCGCGACACCTTGACATTGCAGAGGGTGACAGAGAGAGGAGCCAGAGGAGGGGGGGGGGAAGCTATTGCCTGCTACCTCGGAGACCTTTCAAGTCTCACCTAAAGGAGAGGGAGGAGGAAACAAAAAAAAGCGGGAAGTGTTTTAGTAATTTGTCCCCCGTCACACGTTGTTTGCATGGAGTCATTAAGGGCCATTTAGGTTCTGCCTTGAAGGGAAGAGGCCAGAGAATTTGGGTGCGGGTGCTCTTTGGGAGAGAGGCCGTGGGAGTGAAGGGTGAAAATTAAAGCGCTGCTCTTCAACAAATCATCTCTGTAAGCACCGCGTACATGCAGAACATATTACTGTTTCCATTGACTTGGGTCGCCTGTTAGACATTAATGATGATTTGCTCCATGTCGTCCAGCGGGGAGTTGAAAGTTGTTGCTCTCTTGTTGCTAGTTGCTAACACGTGAAACAACTTTATGTGACTACACGAGTTTTGAAGACATCACTAAACTATTCTCGCTTGGATGAGATCTTTGGCCATTGTTCAGTACTGAGTAACTGCCAAAATGTGTCACTGTGCTACAATTGAATAACAATCAGCCGACAGACCCCATGTGTTTTAGGATTTTGGCCTGTGGTTGACAGATACATGTCAAATCTCCTGGATGAGCAGAGGTAATCGAAAAGTCTTGTTTCGCTCCTCGGACTTGTGCCTTAATGACATAATAAGCCTTCAGAGCGGGGTGGACTGGTGGTGAAAGTTTGGGAAGTCAAATGATGTAAGTGTTCTTTGTCAGCTTTTTTCCTCCCTGAATTGAACGACCCCATAATTGTTTTTCTAGGACTGCCATAATTACCAAATTAAGGGGCTGGTTGTTTTGTAACATGGCATAAAAGTGCTTTGAGACTCACAAACTGGCCAGAGGTTTTGACTCATTCACACGAAATGAGGAGGAAAGTAACTAAGTAAATGTACTCAATTACTTTACTTGAGTAATTCCCTTTTATGTTACTTTATACTTCTACTCTACATTCATAGGCAATTATAGTACTTTTTACTTCACTATAAACATGTAACACTCATAGGTACTTTTAACATATAAAACATGTGATGTGCTTATATGATTTGATACAGTGAAGTATTATATCGCCCTGAGATTGATAAAAACAGGATCATATATAAGTAGATTTAGCTAATACTACGTATGTACTTCTACGAAAGTAACATTTTGCATTCAAGACTTTTACTAAAGTGAAGGATCTGAGTACTTCTTCCACCTCTGGTTATCATTAAAACAGTAATTAAAAACACTTAACTGCCCTGCTGTGTTTTAAATGCATCTTCCTGCCTTGATGAATGGCAGTTTATAGATCTCATTAATGACACAAAGGCCCACCGTAAATCAGAGATCAGCTTTGAAAAGGTGACACGTTGGAATCAAAAGGATGTTGAAGCCCACCAAGAGTGTGACCCGGACTCACCCACATGATTTGATGAGGACTTTGATTTGAAGTCATTACCTTCATGTTAGGGGTGAGAAGTACTAA